GGGGCTGTGGGGGGACTCCCACACCTCGTTATCCTACTCATGTCCAGTGCCAGTCCACTCTGCCCCGTGGTAGCCCTGCATTGGTCAGAGCAGAGCTAGGGGCCACTGGGTCTTTGGAAGGTCATTTTTAGGGGATCTCCAGCCTCTCAGGGAGCTGCTGAGCACATGTGATCCCCGCTGGGGCCCCTGCCTGCCCTGCCCTACCTGCCGCCTGCTGCCCTCCCACACCGGGCCCCATGATGACTGCTCACCGGCTGCGCCCCAGGGAGGGAGGGTGACCGCTTCTTCCTTGCCTTCCTCTCCACGGAGCGGTCCCTGCAGGGGCTGGCGTGGGGTCGCAGCCGGTCTCCAACGGGCCCTGGCTCTGGGGTGACACTAGGCTTGGGGTCCCTGCAGTCTGGGGTCCCCTCCTCGAGGAGGTGGCGTGGGGAGCGGCTGCAGCTGCCCTCTCGATCCTGGGCCTTGGATTTCCGGGTGGCGGCGATGAGGGCGATGCTCTTGGTGTCCACTGCCATCTCCTTCAGGGTCTGGGGGCTCAGGGCCGGGCCGGCCGCCTCCATTGCCGCCCGGGGGCTACTCAGGGCTGGGCCAGCCGGCGAGCACAGCTTTGAGACCAGGTCCTGGACGCTCAGTGAGCTGGGCTTCTGTAGGGGCGCGAGGCGGGGCGGGGGTGGGAGCTCACTCAGCCCTGGCTGTTCCCACCCTGGGAATGAGCTTCCCTGTGAAAAACCTCAGACACCGTGTCAGGCCAAGCGCCTGGACGGGAGGGAAGAGAGCTTAGCCGGGGCAGGGCTTAGCCTCTGCGAGACGGCCAGGACCCAGGGCTGAAGCTCCTCCCAGATGGGCTGCAGGCCCAGACAGTGGACGCACCAGCTCCTATGCTTCCCCACGCCCAAAGCAAAGCCACCTGTGCTGGCCCTTGGTGACCCTGGGGGTCAGAGTAGAACTGGGCTCCACGGGGTCTCTGGGGTGGGGGTGGGGCTGCTGTTTCGAAGCCCCAAGGCACCCCAGGTGGACTGGACTCTGTCCTTCCTGGGGATGCCATGTGCATCGGCCATTTGCCCTCCCAGGACACCAAGGGGCCTGATCACCCCCAAGCCACAGATAGACAAACTGAGGCTCAGCAAAGCCCCTCCCCCCCCCACGGCTGTTCGACCATGGGGCGGGTACCTACGCCCTCCCTCATTTGCAGTGCAGTGTCACCTGCCCCTACCATGCCCAACATGCCCTGAGACCCACGGGCACTGTTCCCCCAGGTTAGCAAGTCCACTAACCAAGCCCAGTTGGCTTGCTCGCTGCAGACCCATGCAAAGTGAGTCACTCAGCAGACACCCCCCTCTCACCCTGACAGCCCTGGTGTCGGCCCTGGACCCGACCCCCACCCCAGGGCTGGGAGGGCCTGGGGAGCAGTCACTGCCATCCTCGGGGCTGCAGGAGGAGGGTCCTCCTCCTGCAAGCTGCTTGCCCACGGTCCCCCCGACCCTGGGCTGCTCCCACGGGGCCACAGCAGGCTGCCGAGCCCAGGACCCAATTAGGGGTGTGTGCACCCACCTCATGCATCGGAGGAGTCAGCAGGATTCGGACAGAAGAGGGTGGGAGGAGGGAGTCCTGCCCCCCCAGCTTCTTGGAGGGCATGGCGTTTGAGGACTTGTGGCCGTCACTGTGGTGGAACGTGGGGAGTCAGCAGGTGAGGACTGTGGCTGGCC